AGCAAGTAAAAGTAGGAAATACGGGTTTTTGCATTTTTTCGAAAGAATGGGTGTAGGGGATTAATCACCCCCGAATTTAACTCAACACATGACCAGTTGAATATTGGATTTCTTCTCGAAAGAAGCCAATTTCCAATGTGTGTGGTGGAGAATCTCGTCGGTCGTGTTTAGAAAGAGTGAATGACAAAATAACTATTAGAGTTGAAATATACAAATGTTTTGCAACAAATACTTCCTCGTGATTCAGGTGAGAATTGTAAGAAGAACTGGAGTAGCCTCCGCGGATTACTGTTTTTTTTAGGAGGAATGAATACAGTACAGCCCTTCTTCTAAATTCATAAAAAGGATAGAGGGATGTTGAAGAATATTCTTTCAGAATATCACTTTTATTTATATTTTTACATACCTAGGTGTTATGGTTTGGTAAAAAATGATGATTAACACAAACCGTTGGAAATGTCTATTAGTCAATAATGGTATAAACACAAAAAAACTAACACAAATCACTTTAAATTAATTTTTCCTATATTTTCACAATTTTTAAAAATACACTTAATATTATTCTTTGATAAAAAAAATACAAATATGGACTGTCAACTTAGTATTAACTCGCGAAAAGGGTGTGAATGTAAAAAGTTATTTGTCAGGGTATTTTAGCTAGACAATACTAGAATAGACCGGCGGACACAAAAAATGAGTTGAAGTTGTAACGATGCGAAACGATAGATTAATACTTCGATACTGACTATTGTGAAGAAAAGTGTCAAGTTTTATGCTAAAAGTCCGCACGGACGGAACTAAAAAATTAATAGGTTCTTATTGGTCAAGGAAAGTGTAAGGATAATTTCATTGGTTTATCTATTTTGAAGGGTGGAGTGGGTAGAATGGAGAGTGGAAGGGGAAATGGGCACCAAAGGTTTGGGAAATGTGTGGGCCTGAAGGGGCTGAGTGACCGCAATAAAGTCATAAATGACCCGAGAGCCTCTCATTAAGACTTATTTTCTCGAGGTCTAAACGAAAGAGGCAATAAATGACCGCAATAAGTGGATACAATAATTATGTAGATTTTCCGAGGTACGAATAATAACAAAAGGCCTTTCAAATTTCAAATACATTTGAGGATTAAAAATCTCCTACTATAAAGTAATTCCCTTTCTATAATAAACGAAATAATATTTGGGACGAAGAGATTTAGGAAATTACGATTTTTATGACGGTCAAGTAGAAATATTTTGGAATAAAAGAAGGATTAAAATTTAAACGNAGGACGAAGAGATTTAGGAAATTACCATTTTTATAACGGTCAAGTAGAAATATTTTGGAATAAAATGTTACGTCTGGAGACGTATCGCATTTTTATTGAAATGAAAGAAAAATTGATAATGATTGAAAAATAATGGAATTAGAAAATGATGAATAATACGTGGTTTCAAAAAGCATTTCGCATTGGAGGTAATCGAAAGCAAGTCTCATTTTTAATCGATATTACTCGTGAAAATATAAGAAGGAATTTAATGAAGAAAAAAGGGTATAAAAAAGAATAAGTTCATGTAACGATCATGTGATCGTTGGGTGGCAACACTTTGAATTGTCTCCAAGAGCGTTATCACCAGGAGGTTCAGGTATCCGTGCCGAGGTGTACCTTGGTGCATCGACATCATGTCATGCCCCCTCCTTTGACAAACACATCAAAATTCATACACATACATTAATTAGTACATCCTCGCAATCCGAGGTAATAAAAGAGCGTCGATGCACCCCCAAAGTTAGTTCCCGCCGTTCTTCGTTCCGGGTCATTTCTCGCGTCGTCTAAACCATTCAAAAGTGGAAGAATTTGGTCCTTCTTACTTCTCTCTTCAAGAGAAACTAATTAAGGTGTGAACTTCCGTTCCGAAAAATTGTAAATTTTTTTTACGTGAAATTATTGTGAAATCTAACCAACCGAATATTGGATTACTTCAAGAAACTACAACAAAATGGATGAGTAAAACAAAATAAATAATAAATTTGATTTAAATCGGGAAATGACATGGTGAAAAGTCGAACGGTTTCAAAAATTCAAGAAAAAAAATCGATAATTATTGAATATTTGAGAATTTTAGTTCGGGGAACTCAATATAAAAAAAANTGGATAGAATAATTATGTAGGTTTTCCGAGGTACGAATAATAACAAAAGGCCTTTCAAATTTCAAATACATTTGAGGATTAAAAATCTCCTACTATAAAGTAATTTCCTTTCTATAATAAACGAAATAATATTTGGGACGAAGAGATTTAGGAAATTACGATTTTTATGACGGTCAAGTAGAAATATTTTGGAATAAAAGAAGGATTAAAATTTAAACGTTGCAATGGGCGTGACGATGAGTTCAATAATAAAATAATTTACTCAAGTAATTCTGCGAAAAGGCTGGGTTTTTCCCGATGGAAAATTTCCCAATACGATAAACAATTCCGCGACGGAACATACTCCGGAACATACTCCGTGTGTTTTGATGACCTTGCCCAATGTCCATTGCATTGGAGGTAAGTTGTCCTCCTTCATGATGACGACAGTACCTTCTTTGATATGGTGCTCCCCATGAGTCCATTTGGATTTAATATTGAGCCCGCTGATGTACTCTCGATGCCAGCGAGCCCAAAAATCCTGTTTCAGCTTTTGAAGGTGTTGCCAGCTGGACAGGCGGTTGGTTGGAGTGTCTCGAAAGTCTGGACCCCTGAGATTTGTCAAAGAGTCACCAATCAAGAAGTGGCCAAGTGTTAAGGCGATTGGATCATTCGGATCCGTTGAGAGAGGTGTGAGAGGTCGTGAATTTAGTACGGCCTCAATCTCGATGACCAATGTGTTCAACTCTTCGAATGTGAGTAATTCATTGGTCACGATCCTTCGCAGGTGGTGCTTGAAGGATTTGACCGCAGCTTCCCAGAGTCCACCAAGGTTTGGAGAATGTGCTGGGATGAAGTGCCAGCGAATTTCCTTGGAGGTAGCAAAATGAATAATTTTTTGCTGTTGATCTTCATTTTGTAAGAAATTGTGGATTTCCTTCGGCTCACTGTTGGCACCGACGAAATTTGTGCCATTGTCTGAATAAATGTTGCTGCAGACTCCCCGTCGAGCGATGAAGCGCCGTAGGGCGGCGAGAAAACCTTCCGTGGTGAGGTCACTCACGACCTCTAAGTGGACTGCCTTAACTGCAAGACACACGAAAACAGCAATATACACCTTGATGCGACCCCTGTTGCGTATTTTCTTTTCCTTTATAAAGAACGGGCCACAGTAATCTACTCCGACGTGTGTAAATGGGCGAGACTCGATCACTCGAGCCTCAGGTAGGTTACCCATCACGTAATCTATTGATGGTGGTTTGTGCCTGATGCATTTGACACAGGAACGCACGATGCGCCGAAACGACTGACGTCCATCCAATAGCCAAAAACGACGGCGAATAGCATTAAGTGTAGCTTGAGCACCGACATGTAGCTGTAGCTGGTGCTCATTCCTGATGATGTGATTCGCCACTGGATGTCTTCTTGGAAGGATGAGAGGATGACGTTGACAATATGGTATGTTTGCATTTGTCAACCGGCCCCCTACTCGTAATAGTCCATCCTTGTCAATGAATGGGGTCAATTTAGCAAATCTCGACAATTGTGATAACTTGTTTCCAGCTGAATATGGGTGATGCAGCTCCTTGATGGCTCTGGCGAAGTTTTCTAATTGTACCCAGTGTACAATAGCGTGGAGAGCAGCTTGAAGTACATCAAGTACTAGTGGACCCTTGCGACGAGTTCTTTATCTCAGACAATAAGCAACAACCCGTTGTAATTTATTGATTGATGATGACCAAATATCAAGGTGTTTGGAATTAGTTGTTGAGGCTAAGCAGGTTTCCATCGTGGCTACTGGTGATTTTCGTAGATCAGGTAAACACGATGAAAACTCCAGTTGAAGATTGGGCCATTCATTTTCGTTTAGATGAAGCCATGATGGACCAGAAAGCCAACGCGAAGGTTTTATAAACTCAGATGGTGTTTGCCCACGAGACACGAGATCAACTGGGTTGTCGTGGGTTCGTACGTGCTTCCAGTCCTGAATGTTTGTTTTTTGTTGAATATCTGCTACTCTATTGCTGACGAAAACTTGAAGTTTATGGGGTGGTGTATTTAACCAATGTAACACCACTGTGGAGTCTGTCCAGTAGAATATTTTATCAATGTTGTGGTGAATGGCTGCCTGAATGTTTCCCACGAGTGATGTCAAGAGTTGAGCCCCGCACAATTCGAGGCGTGGAATGGTTTGCTCTTTCAAAGGAGCAACGCGAGATTTCGAGCAAAGCAAGTACACGTGTATATTCCCATGTTTGTCGACTGAACGGAGGTATAGACAGGCTCCATATGCCATTTTGCTAGCATCACAAAACCCATGAAGTTGGACATTGGTGGCCCCTGGTATCAAGGCTCCTCATGGGAATGTTGCTTGCTCGAGTGTTGGTAGTTGTTTGTAGAATTGTAGCCATTCTTTCTGCAAATCTGATGGTAAAACGGTGTCCCAGTGTACATTCAATGTCCACAACTTTTGTATGAAAGCCTTGGCAACAATTACAACTGGTGATAGCAGGCCCAATGGATCAAATAATTTTGCAGTTTCTGATAAGATGACTCTCTTTGTAATTGGATCAATATTTGGAGCGATTTTAACGAAGTATTTGATTTTATCAGCAGCAGAGTCCCACGAAATGCCCAATGTTTTAAGTGTTGTCGAATCTCCGAGTTGTAGGTGTTTGTTGATATCTTCCGGGTCGAGTCCTTGAAGCAATGTGGGGTCATTCGATGCCCACTGTCGAAGATTGAAACAGCCCAATTTCATCAATTTTTCGAGTTCATGACGAATGGTAATGGCTCCTTCACGTGTTTGTGCTCCTGTGAGATCATCTACGTACAGATCTCTCTTCAGGATAGCAGCTCCAGTAGGATAGCGATGTTGTTCGTCGTCTGCTAGCTAATGAAGACATCTGATTGCAAGGTATGGTGCTGCTGACAATCCAAATGTCACGGTGTTGAGTTCGTAGGTTCTCACAGGTCCATCATCATCGCGCCACAGAATGCGTTGGTATTTACGATCTTCCAGACGCACGAGAATTTGTCGATACATTTTCTCGATGTCGCCCGTCAGAACGTACTGTATAAACGAAATCTCGATAACAAAGAAAAAATATCGTCTTGAATTGCAGGGCCCACGTGGAGTGTATCGTTCAAGGACATCCCGGTGTTGGTTTTGGCGGATCCATCAAAGACAACTCTCAGTTTTGTTGTTAAGCTGCCTTCTTTGAATACCGCATGGTGGGGTAAATAGTACCCGTGATCAGCTAATTTCGATGTATCAATTTCAGTCATATGCCCAAGATCAATGTACTCTTGAATGACTGTCTTGTATTGCTCAGCAAGTTGAGAGTTTTGATGGAATTTTTTCTCGCTAGATTTGAACCGATTGTAAGCCCGCGATCGCGATATCCCCAGTTGAAAGATATTATTATTGAAGGGAAGAGCCACGATGTATCTTCCTGTCATGTCTCTAGTCACGTGCTCCTTGAAGTGTCGTTCACACGCTGTTTCAACGTGATTGGAACGAGGTTTTCCTGCGGTGTCCTCTATTTCCCAGAATTTAGTCAATTCAAAGCCCAAAGAGTCCGTGTTAATGAGATGACAGGAACGTTGACGAGTGTGTTTAGATGTAGGAGCTCCCCCTCCAATAACCCAACCAAGAGAAGTTTGTAAAAGGAATAAATCAGGTTGATTTTCAGCAAAAATTCGTTTTTTCGCGGGTCCGAGAAACGAAAGTGTAGTCCCAGTTCCAAATAACATGTCAATGGGAGCTGGTAGATGAAATTCTGGATCGGCGAGTCTCAAATTAGAGGGAATTTCTATTTTATCCCTGTCAAGTGGTTGGCCCGGCACCATTGTCGAAATACTGGGGACCGTCAAGAATATAATTGTCCGTTCCTCGTTGTTGATTCGCGAACGTATAGTGGCAGTTACGAGATGTTTTGTTGTAGTCGTTATTGTATTCAGAGCGCCAACTGCGGTTGAAAAATATCTTTTTGGCAATCCAAGCGACGTTGCTAAACTCTCCGTAATAAAATTCGTTGTTGAACATGTATCCAACAATGCGCGACAATCGATGAGCGAGTTATTGATATTTAATACCTTGAGTTTAACAGTTACCATTAAATCACAAGTTGATGAGTTGACGATCAGTGTCGTGTGGTTCGGTGATTCAGCTGGGCTCTGCTCTTGGCTTAGTCAGGAGTTGTTGATGGGCGTTGTCCCTGCAGCAGTGGCTGGTTGAACGTTCGTTGATAGATCTGACCGATGTAGAAGAGAGTTGTGAGGTTTTTGGCACCGTGGACAGTTTCTGGAGTTGCAGGCATTGACACCGTGGCCTGACTTGAGACAACTGAGGCAGAGTGAGAGTTTTTTCGCTTCTTTATATCGATCCACTGGCGAAAGATTTTTAAAATTTGGACACCTCATGATGCTGTGATTTTCCTTGCACATGGCGCATGAAACGACTGTTGATGTGCTAGTAGTCACGAAGGCTTGTCTCTTTCCACGATGACGATTGGATTTTTCGTCACGTGAGAACGAAGTAGACACTGATGAGCATTGCGAACGACTTTCCAAGAATTCCAGCGGGCTTGTGTATTGAGGAAGATTGGAGTCCTTGATCTTCAATTCCCAGAGATAAGTTGTTTCTGGGCTGATTTTGGACTGGATCAAGTGAATCAGTGGCAGATCCCAATACTCTACCGGTTGTTTGAGGTTTTTCAGCGCCCTAGTATGCTGATAAACCGTGTCGACTAGATGTCCAAGTGCCTCTGGTGTGTCTTTTGATAGAGCTGGATACTCATGCAGCAGTTCCCAGTGTCTACAGATGATTTTCCGTGTGCGATCGAACTTCTTCTGGATGATGTCCAAGGCGGTGTCATAATTCTCCTCAGTGTTTGACAACGATTCAATAGCCTTGGCAGCTCTCCCCGTTAAAAGACTCCGAAGATATTGGAGTTTCTGAACTTTGGATAAATCAGTCCTCTGTCCAATGTTGCAGTTGTAGCTGTCCCAAAATGGATGGTAACTCTCATATGATCCGTCGAACTTTGCAATATCAAGTTCCGGCAAACATATGAGCGAAAGTAATGATGCAGCTGCGTTCGTTGTGTCACCACACTGCACTATATTACCATGTGGAGAAGCGGCTACTGTTCGTAAGGGTGAAAGGTGATGAAGGGCATCACCAACAGCTTGTTCATACCTTGATAGAATCTCCAAACGTTTGGGGCTCTCGGCTTCTTCGTCCGCTTCTTCTAGCTCCTCTTGGATTTCTTCAAAGCGTTGAAAACGTTGTTTCATCCCGTCCAATGCGACCTGGAGTCTCTCCGGAATACGTTCTTCGATGGGCAATGACACGTATGTATCCAAAGTTGCCTTGAACATCGTTATTGATGCTTGAATGTTGCCACGCTGACGTCTGAGCGTGCTGAGTCAGGCTTCATTCGCCATGTTGAATTCATTTCACAATACAACCACTGAAGCTGGTAAGTAAAATAGTCAATGTTTGTTGGCAACGATATGCCAGTAAAAAGTCAAAGTTCAAAAATAAAGTGAGTCAAAGTCAAAAATTAATATCACCATAGATATTAACTGCAAAAAAGTTCACACACTCCCGAATCACTTGTTCACATATCCGGCTCGAAGGACCAATTATGTTATGGTTTGGTAAAAAATGATGATTAACACAAACCGTTGGAAATGTCTATTAGTCAATAATGGTATAAACACAAAAAAACTAACACAAATCACTTTAAATTAATTTTTCCTATATTTTCACAATTTTTAAAAATACACTTAATATTATTCTTTGATAAAAAAAATACAAGTATGGACTGTGAACTTAGTATTAACTCGCGAAAAGGGTGTGAATGTAAAAAGTTATTTGTCAGGGTATTTTAGCTAGACAATACTAGAATAGACCGGCGGACACAAAAAATGAGTTGAAGTTGTAACGATGCGAAACGATAGATTAATACTTCGATACTGACTATTGTGGAGAAAAGTGTCAAGTTTTATGCTAAAAGTCCGCACGGACTGAACCAAAAAATTAATAGGTTCTTATTGGTCAAGGAAAGTGTAAGGATAATTTCATTGGTTTATCTATTTTGAAGGGTGGAGTGGGTAGAATGGAGAGTGGAAGGGGAAATGGGCACCAAAGGTTTGGGAAATGTGTGGGCCTGAAGGGGCTGAGTGTCCGCAATAAAGTCAAATGACCCGAGAGTCTCTCATTAAGACTTATGTTCTCGAGGTCTAAACGAAAGAGGCAATAAATGACCGTAATAAGTGGATAGAATAATTATGTAGGTTTTCCGAGGTACGAATAATAACAAAAGGCCTTTCAAATTTCAAATACATTTGAGGATTAAAAATCTCCTACTATAAAGTAATTCCCTTTCTATAATAAACGAAATAATATTTGGGACGAATAGATTTAGGAAATTACGATTTTTATGACGGTCAAGTAGAAATATTTTGGAATAAAAGAAGGATTAAAATTTAAACGTTGCAATGGGCGTGACGATGAGTTCAATAATAAAATAATTTACTCAAGTAATTCTGCGAAAAGGCTGGGTTTTTCCCGATGGAAAATTTCCCAATACGATGAACAATTCCGTGACGGAACACTAGGAATATAATGATCTGACAATTCCATTATCATTTTTTTTTCCATTTTTCCTTCACTCCACCCCCACTACGTCATCACAATTCATACATTTCCTTATTTTTCCTGTCATAAGGCACTAAGAAAATCATATTTTGAGATCTTATAATTTTCCTCATTCATTTATTCATTATATTTTTTGCAATAATGATAGTCGTCGAAGAAGTGTTTTTAACATAATGACTTCTTGCACCAAGAACAACGAATAATAGCAATATTCGTACATCCCGGTATTTCGCAATGCGACTTGCATGATTCACCGAATGCGAAATGGACGGGATTTTCAAATCCATCTGGTTTGGTTTCTACGTAACCGCTTCTGTACCAAGCATATTTGAAGAGATTGACATATCGTGGTGACGACAATTGATTATGAGTTAGAGATTGCAAATTGAAGACATTATTCTTTAAATGTAAATTCAAATCATAATCCATTAATATAACACTATCAGAGAAATATCTTATGAAGTTTTTCTAAACTCTAAATCCAAAAACATCGAGTGGTTGGAGTTTTCCAGTTGTCCCTTTAGGTATAGTCATTACCTCCACATCCTTATTGCGTGTTTTGGTAGCTTCCACGATTGGAGAACAGTGTCCGGTCTATGAATCCACCAATAATAGACTTTTCGCACCAACATTTATCAAGTATCATCTCCTCATCATCTCCTCATCATTCTTTTCGCACCAACATTTATCATGTTCTCCTCATCTTTAGTACATAAAAGTTCGCATCAATATTGTGGCCCAAAAAGACGGTTATCCCACTTTGTATCAGCGTTCCACTTTGCCCCATCCCCCCCATTTCACCCTTTTTGAACCCAACCAACACCATTTCACATCACTTACTTCAAGAATTGTGATCGCCCAAGAAGAAATCCAATATTCAACTGGTAATGAATTAAGTCAAATTCGAGGCTGGTTTCCCTACACTACTTTTTTCGAAAAAAGCGAAAACCCGTATTTTTGACGTTTGCTTGCTAGTTTAATAGCCATTCATACTATTAAAATACGAGCGTAATTTTTTTGTTTCACAAATTTTTTTTGGATTTGAACCCCTATCATTGTTTTGGAATTGACCCTATTCAAAAGCAACAAAAGCCATTTTTCACCATTTTTCGTAAAGATTATCATGCATTTTTTTTCGTTCTAAAATTTTGAATGCCAATATATGAAACAGTCAAATGGTCCTGAAAACCTGTCAACTTCGGAGGTTGGTTTCACCCCCTAAAAATCTTTATCCGCCGAAAAAAAAAACGTATACCTTAGATTTTGATGGGGAATAACATATTTCAAGCTCATCGAAATCGGTGAGGGACACTCGGGACGGTTTCCTTGTGAGCCACCCCCCATCTCTCCGTTAGCATGCGTTGATTGAATAAAAAAAATTCTTAAAAAATAAAAATCTCGAAAATTGAGACTTTGTAAGGGGGTGGAAGGGGGAGGTACAACGGCGAAGGGTTGCAAATTTTACCCAACTAGGGGAGAGTGTTTCTGAAACTGACTGAGCCACCACCATCCCTTTGTTCGCATGCGTCATTAAATTAATTTAAAAAATTCTAAACAAAAAATATAAATCTTCGTCAATTGAAATTTCACGAGAAGATGGAAGGGGGAGGTATGATGGCGCAGGGTTGCTAATTTTACCTAACAAGAGGAGGGGGTTCCAGAATCTATCTGAGCCACCCCTCATCTCTCCGTTCGCATGTATTAATTAAGTAAATTAAAAAATTCTTGAATGAAAAATTAAAATTTCCTCAATTAACATTTCACGAGGGGGCGGAAGGGGAAGATACGAGGGCAGAGGGTCGCAAATTTTACCCAACAAGGGGAGGGGGTTGTCAAATCTAACTGAGCCACCCCCATGCGTTGATTGAATAAAAAAAATGTTAAATAAATAATGAAAATCGCGAAAATTGATAATTTACGAGAGGTTGCAGGGGGAGGTATGATAGCGGAGGGAATGAAACTTGGAAATATGCTCCAAGACGGGTGGAGTGGTATATATTGTAATATGATAAAAATCATGTACTGTTCCTCACCTGAACTGACCGCGGATGATGGGGGGAAAATTAGTATTTTTACCCCAGCGAGGAGTCGGATCACCCAGGGCCACAATTGTCATTTTCTTCATTTCTTTTATTTACTCTTTCTTTTATTATTCCCTCAAATTCTGTCGACCGCGCTCATC